AGTGTCCATACCCTGTATGTGCATGTATAAAAATAATTATGGAATTCCGTTTTCGCATGATATCGAGAATTATCAAGACCTCAGTTTGTGTTAGATAACACAACCTCGGCATTCATAATTCTCAATATCACGCTCGACTTCGTCTAATAAATAATTATTAATTGTTTTGCCTCTCTAATAACTGTTGGCTTTTGTCCTTGGCGAAACCCACTCGCGACGATTATGTTAATACTGTATACTTTCCATTATTTTAGAGCATATAGATCCATCTGAGTTTGTTCGACATCTCTTGATTGAGTCCACTCCTAAAGGAGTTCATCTGAAGGACTGTAAAGATGAACCATTGTTTGGTAAGAAAATTTGCTAAAACTGGCATGATTTGTGTCTGGACTACTTCAAAAAATCAGACACACTTTAACGTCTTTATAATGCCCTTGCGTTCAACATTAAAACGAATGCGCTGGCAACCGTCCAAATCATGATTCAGCCAGATAATGGTGCTAATGCTGTAGCTTATTGTAAAACTGACTTAGTATACACCAGAACCCACGTTTGAATTCAGTTTGGAGTGGTGGGAGTCAATGAGTCTTCTTAAATGGGACACTTGGTATGATGCACCAATCGCTATCAGGTCTATACAGTAGGTTAGTCCCCCAGATGTGGTTTTCAATCATCGGTAGAGTAATGTAGAGGGTCAAATACTGTATACTTCGCTGTTGTTTGATTACATATAACATATACTCAGGGTGCGATAAATCGAGATTTTTGGTCGTACTTGACTGGTACTTTAATAACTATTCCCTCGTACTTGAGCTGAAGGTGTACTTAGTTTTTGAAATGATGTACATAAAATATTCATTCCGTAACCTGAAACTACAACTTAGTACGAGAAGGACGTCAATGGACCTTTAACCTTATAACTAAAATTTTGATCTAGACAAGTCTAGACAAAAATTTCATCACAGCTTGAAAGAGCATCACAAAATTAGTAAACCCGATTTGGGTATCAATTTCCCGTTTGTAATCTAAAATGACTGAAAATTGCAAACTTCGCATGGCTATATTATCCGCATTTTACAACATTTTGCAACGAAACTTTGGAATATTACTAATTTTGTGATGCTCTTTGAAGCTGTGATGAAATTTTTGTCTAGATCAAAATTTTAGTTGTAAGGTTAAAGGTCCATTACATACACAAACCCTAGAATAGACCTTTCCCCTTTTAAGTGAAATTTTGATCGAGATATGCCTGGACAAATATTTCATCGCAGCTTGAAAGAGCATCACAAAATCAGTAATATTCCGAAGTTTCGTTGCGAAAATGTTGTAAAATGCGGATAATATAGCCTTGCGAAGTTTGCCGTTTTTCAGTCATTTTGTATTACAAACGGGAAATTGATAATCAGATGATCAAACTGATTACCAATTTCCCATTTTGTAATACAAAATGACTGAAAAACGGCAAACTTCGCAGTGCTATATTATCCGAATTTTACAACATTTTGCAAGGAAACTTTGGAATATTACTAATTTTGCTATGCTCTTTCAAGCTGTGATGAAATTTTTGTCTAGACTAGTTTAGATCAAAATTTCACTTAAAAGGGGAAAGGTCTATTGGCTCCAGTATTCCTTAGTCCGATCAGTCCAGTCATGCTTCATGCCAAGACATGTCAGACGTACCTTTACATACGGTTAGGTATACGGTTTTGACTACCTTGGGTTTGGTAAGGTACTATGGTACCAGCGAAATGCAAGAACGCAGATAGCATAAGATAGCATAAGTCTAAAGGTCGTTGTCCATTACGGTCGCTTTACCGGTGCAGGCGGAGCGAACGTTTT